AATATTTCTTATATAAAAGAGGGTATTTTTTTCTATTATATAGGGGGCGCTTTAGAACGTGCACATGCCGACGACCGATACGAGTTAATTTATACACAAGATGTTCCTTTCGATTGAGTTATATATATATTTATGTATATATAATTAAAAGAATTTGACAAAGAGGGTATCAAATAATAAAGATGCATTGATTGATTGGTGAATGAATCAGATATAAACCCACAAGTCATTTTATTATTATTATTATTATTTATTATTATTATTTTTTATTTCTTTTTTGTTTTATTTTGTTATTTTTTTTTTTTGGCGGTAATCTTTTATTTCGTGATTTACTATCAAATAATATCTAATGACTATTTTTTAATATATCAATGGGTTGGCGTAAGTGTGAGATGACGTTAATCAACAGCCAATATATGATTGGATTTTTTGGATGACGTTAAGAGTGAACTTTATGTGGCCTGATTATGGCGGAGGAATCGTCACTATGATATATAAGTACTTGTTTTAAATAAAAAGACGTATGGGCTTGTTGGTTTAATACATTCATGAGATATGCGTTTAAACACGAAGCGGTAGATCTTAAATACATTGAAATTCAACATCTTGGCAATTTACTTTAAAATACATTCTTTTTGCTATTCATTAAATAATCGGATGATTTATAAATGTAATATCGTGTAGTTTCGAGTGTGCAAATTTCTGGATGTGTAATATCACCTGGTGACTTTTAAACTATAAAGTAAGGTTACACAAAATCTGGGCATATCGCATATCGATCAGAGGAATGTCACGCTGCAGGAGAACCCTTATATTAAAAACATTTTGAATCTCTTAGTAAAAGAGATCCAAAATTTTTTTTGCACGTAACCAATTTTGTATGTACTACGTCCTTTTCTTTTTAGCGAAATTATGATTTCTTTTGTTAAAATACTTTGTGCAGTTTGTTATGAAATTGTAGACAATGAAATTATACTGTATAGTTGTATAACTAAAAAAGAATTAAACTTTATTATAACCTAAATTTTGTTTACACAGAAGATTTTTTAAAAAAAATCTTGTAAAATTTTTATTATAAAGGAAATTAGGGATTAGAATATATGTTTTATAATCTCACATGAAAACAAAAAAATAGCAATATTCATTTTTATTGCTATATTTTGTTGTAGGTATAAAATTTAACTATAATACAATTTAAAATTGGGTCAATCATTTTTTATTAGGGTTGGCACTTTATGCATGGAGTCGATGTCGAGTAGGCCTTATAATTGGGACTTAGTGCAAAAAGAATGAGTAACTAGGGTTCAGATACGTATTTGCTAAGATTGGTAATTTCTTGAGTGTGGTTATCAGATAAGATCACATGATTTCGCGGACCCAAAATCATATGATCATACCTGAATTGTAAGTGGTATATGGATTATATCCATCACAATTGAATCCAACATAAATATTTTAATTTTTGATTGATTACAGGTGAGAGGGGATCGGGCACTGTCTCTGCTGTATATTCGATTTACTGACGGTTAAGAATCAAAAGTGCGATTAATGAAGTTTGTAAATTATGGAATATTTGGGTTGTTGATGATTAAAAATAAAAGTACGAATTTTAATGCCGTTTATTTAGCCAAATAAAATATATTTTGTCTTAAAATAACTTCCCAGTGTGTAGTTTGGAATTTTGGCCTAAATTAAGCCCAATACGGCCTATATTAAGCCTAATTTGACCAAAATTTTAATCCACACCCTGGGTAGTATTTAAATTTGCGTAATGTTAACGTAATATTAGTGAGATAAAATTATATGATTTAGTGTGATTTGGTTTAATCACACTAAATCAAATAATTTCCGTGTTCTGCTTAAATGTTCTTGTCTAGGAAGTGGCGGGCTATATGAATTTTTATATATACTACTGGTGATATAGTTGGATACCGTCTAAATTTTAAAAATAAAATAGAATGGGTTTTTTATAATTGAACAGATTATAATAAATAAATAAGATGTTGCATAACGTATTGCACTAAACTAGTAATAGATGATGTATTTAGCAAATATGACTAACCTTCTAAATATCTTGTTCTACTTTTTTTTTTTGTTAATATAAAATATTTCAACTAGATAATGATTTCTAACTATGAAAGATCTATTAGCATCACTTATATTTGTGTAATTTACAATTTATAAAAATGTGCTTTTAATCTTATAAATTACAAAATTTTCATAATAACTAGCAACATTACATGTTTTTGCAATATGACTCACATTAGTAGCTTTTTGATAATAATAAATACCTTGTATTTTAGTAATATGTTTATATTTTTGACTTCAATTTATTTATAATAATAATATTTAATTTAAATTAGTTTTTATTTTTGAACATACAATTCTTTTTATCAATTTTTTTTGCAAATTTAAATAAAACCAAAATTGCCAATAGTTTAATAAATAGTATAAAAAACATATAATAACAGTATAGAGAAGAAGTAGCATATTGCAATTAAGCATTATGCTATCTGAAGTAGTAATTGAAAGTTTGAATTTGTGTTTAGTTATAGTAAGAGAAAACTTTGTTGTATATGTAATATTCAAAAATAAGTATAATTATATTATTAATAACATAATTGGTTTGTTTATCTGTTATTTGTTTGGTTTGTATAATATTTATAAGTTTAAGTATTTCTTGTATAATTATTTTGTTTATTAATTGCTATATACTAACATCTTAAAAATTTTAGAGATGTATTGAAGGTTTGTATTTGTATTATAGTATTAATAAAATTGAAAATAAATATAAGTTTTGTATTAGATATTAGAGTAGATTTGTTTAAATTAACTTTTGATATTTGTTATTTTATAAAATGTTAAAACTATGTCTATAAGATTTTAAAGTTGTTTTTTCTTAATCTATTCTATTTTTTATTAAATATATATATGTTAGATCAAAATTAATAATAACTTAATTGGTTATAAGAATAATAAGTTAATAATTATAAAAATAATAAATAAAATTTGATTCTATACAATTAGATTTCTATATAAGCACAATCTCTTTATAAGTATATTTTTAAAAAACCTTACTTTTATTTCAACTATATAACTATAAAAAAGATTAACTATATAAAGTTTTTTTTAAAAAAGTATTATTAACAGAATTGTAAACTTTGCATATATTTTGTAATAAAAATTAAAGTAGTTTTTTGTTATATAAAACATTTTTAATAAAGTTATTAAATATATATATTAGAGTATTGGTACTATTATCAAATAGCAAAATATAATTATAAAAATTAAAAGTATTAGATATTTGAATAAAATAAATAAAAGTTTATTAGTTAAAATTTTTATATATAGTTTTTAATATATTCTATTAAACTAATAAAACATATATTGTTAAGATTTTTTTAAAGTTTAATTTTTTTAAAATTGAATATATTCTACTATTTTTTTATTGTTTAGAGATATTGTTTGTATTAAAACATTTATTAAATAAATAAGTAATTACTTGTAATATATAGAATTTATAATATTTTAGTATTTTATAATTTATTTTAAAGATTTATATATTTTATTGTTAGGTAATTATTTAATAGTTATAAAATTTCTTTTATAATAATTAGTTATAAAAATAGAATATATTAGTTTATATTAATAAAAACTTTGTGTTAATATTCATTAGCTTAGTGCTAATTAAATATCTCTGTTTAGTAAGTTTTATATTAATCTATTAATAAAAATATTGTTGTATATATAAAATATAGTTAAAAAATTAGTTATAACTTTATTTTTTATTTTAATATTATAATGAATTACTAAGTTAGTATATTAGTTAAGAATATTATTAATTACTTTAGTTGTTAAATTAATAGCTATTTATATCTATTATTGATTGCTTTATTAATATGTTAACAAAGATATTAAGAGTTCTAAATTTCTAATATAATAAATAGTCTTCTATAATTGTTTGGTTTAAAAAATTTATTATAATAAAATTATAAGTTTAAAAAGAGTTTGATATATTAAAATCATATTTTTGATTTATATTATAGATTTAGATAATAATTATATTATTAATTAAAGAGTTGGAGTCTTGTAACCTAGTAATCTAGGAATTTTTCTTTTACAAACAAGGTTAACAGTTCACTTTAAGCTAAAAGCAAAACTATGTAATCTATAAAAATATATAAATATACACAAAGCTCTGTAGCTTAAGACTATATAAATAGAAGATCAATATATAAAGAAGTTCTTAGAAAAAAGTTTTTTAATATAAAGTATTAATGTTTAATATAAGAAAAGTAATAAATATGCTAGAAATAAAAAGAAGGTGCACTAGCAAGTAATATGATAAACATAAAAAGAAGCTACAAAAAAAGAATAGACTTACTGAAATTCAAATATCTCTAACAATAATACTAGTTTAATGAATATAAAATATACTAAATTGAATAAAATCTAAGAAGTAATTTTTGTATCATATTTAGTAAGTTTGCATCAAGAGTAAATTCAAAGAAATATATATATTTAATAATATTTAATAAGAAAGTACTTTGATATAAATAGTAATTAAGATAGCTCTAACTTAGGATGTTCTCAAATGCCTAAATCAATTGATCAGAAATAAATTTTTAAATAGTTGAGGGCCGAAAAAACTAATTCAGTAAGTTGCTGTTTCACTAAAAAAAGTCTGGAGCTGCAGACGATCTTTTTTTTTCATAGAGTTAACGCTAATTGGCCAAAACTGCTTATTAATAGAGTAAAAAAAGAGGTTGTTCAAGCATTTGCTTTATATCATAGATCTTTAGTGAAATTACAATTGCAAAAAAAAAATTATTACATTGCTTTTTATATTCAAAACTCTTATCACTAATAAAAAATTCCAAGAAACCTAAAGAGTAAACCTTGCCAACCTTTATTATCTTTTAACTTTTATACCAAATGCAGCAATTCTATATATATTGTTTTTACCTAATATAAAAGCCCAATGTCAACAAAGACCAAAAATGGGTAGATTCTGGTTGGAAGTTTTTCCACATTTAACAGATGAAGAAGGTTATAATTCATTCCAGCAGCATTTTCGTATTACTCTTGCCACTTTTAACTATATTGTTAGACGATTAGAAAACCATCCAGCTTTTTTTTTAGAAGCACTTAATGCAACACCTGTATAAAAGCAAATTGCCATTGTATTATGGTGATTTGCAAATGGAGCAGGCATACAAATGTTGGAACAAACACTTGAAATTAGTCAAGGTTCAGTATGTTATTTCACAGATCATTTTTTAGAAGCATTATTGAATATAGAAAAGGATCGAATAATGTGGCCACAAGGTGCTCGATTAGCTACAGTAATATATGGATTTGAATATGTGGAAACTGGTTTAGGAAATCGTAGATTACCTAATGTTATCAAGGTCATAGATAGGTCACATATACCAATTCATCCTCCTTCTAAAAATGGTCATGCTATGTAAATCGTAAAAGCTTTTATTCAATTAACCTTCTTGGAATTATTGATTTTCAAGAACATTTCACATATATACATATTGGTGCAGATTTAATATAAAATTTTAATTTATATTGTATATCTATTTTTTTTTTTTAAATAAAATTTATAATAAAGGTAGTGTTCATGATGCCCATGTGTTTTATTGCTCATCGCTATTCTGTGAAATTTCACTAAACCCTAAACAATAGGTTCCCAGAGGTACATATATCATTGCTAATACTGCTTATTCTCTTAAAACTTACCTGATAAAAGGATTTTTTAATTATGATTTATTAACACATCATGAACAACATTTTAACAAAATTCTTTCTTTAATGAGAATGGTTGTTAAGTAGGCATTTGGATGGTTAAAGGGGTGATGAAGAATTCTGTTAAATGAAGTTTACTACACAGATCTAGAATGTATTATTAGAATTATTCATGATGTTGTATTTTACATAATTTATATATTGATAATAGAGATTTGTTGTCATTAGAAGATGCTGTGATAGAAGAAAATGATATTAATGAAGATCATGAAATTGATAATGATATATTTATGGTTAATGAAGAAAATAACAGATTGGTGGATATACAAAAAAGAAATTATTTGGCAAATCTTCTTAATATTTTATAATTATAATATGTAGAAATTTATAATATATTTTATTACATTTAAGCAATATATATATATATATTTTTTAAATTAATAAAAATAAAAATTATAAAATATATTTTTATAATTTCATTAAAAGTTGTCTAAAAATTTCCATTTGTTCGTCATGCTGCTTTTGTTGAACTTCAGTTATATGAACATATTGATCTTTTATAGTTTCGATGATCGTTTTAGTTTGTTTTTTAACAAGTATATGAAATTCTTTAATATTTCCTTTTTCATCCTTATGTCATTTTTTTTTTAATACTAGAGAAATCAATCTATAAATTATAAAAAAATAAATAAATAAATATAAGTAATTGATATATAATGATAATACATATAAAATTTATAATGAGGCCAAACCTCTTAAAAAATAATATATATATATATTAATATATACCTCATTATCATCATTATTTACATCTTTTTGTAATTTGTGCTTTAAACCATTAATTGAATCACTTGTAACAGGTGCCATAATGCTTGGATCTTTTTTTAGATGTTCATCCATATCAGCAAAGAACTCTTAGTCATTTTGAATTGCTTTTTCACCAGTGCTTAAAATAGTATTTTTTACATTACGGTACTTTTGAAAAAAGTTGTTCCATTTCTGTTGAATTGATGCTTTTGTATGATCCTTCAAACTTGAACTTGCATTGGAAGAAGCTTGCAAATTTGTAATAATATTGTTTCAAATTCTGCCTTTTTCTCATGAATCTCTTACTCGTTGCAATGCATACTGCTGCTTTCTAACTTCTTCAATCAGCATCTGAGTTTCTGAAGATGTTTATCTATTTGTTGACTTATTAGTTGAAACAATAGAAGTTGAACTTGAGCTAGAAGTAGGTTCTGAAGTAACTAAAGTCAATAAATTTTTTTGCTCATTATTTGTAATGGAGAGTTCCTTCTAAAAAAAATAAATTTTTTATGTTTATTATTTATTTATTTATTTATTTATTTATTTATTATGAATTTTTTTTGTAATAAATACTTTGTTATTTTCAATATTGGTTTTGTTCGAAGCTAAAGGCACAAAAGTTGCAAATATTGTTGTTATAGCAACATATGAATATTTGTAAAGTCAGTAAAAGGAAAAATTTGTGCACTTGAAGTTGGTAAAGTTATATTTGTTTGTTGGGGTATTGCCAAAGAAGGAGTTACATTTGTTTGTTGAATAGTTGACTTTTTTTTTTTGTTATGATTTACTAAAGACATAACAACAATAGAGTAAAACAAAGATGGTCTGTTCAAACAATGATTGCAATCGTTATTACAATCAATTGTAATAATTGAGCATCATCTTAATCACTATCAGATCACATTGAGGGAGTTGCTTGAGAACATCCTTAATATATTATTACAATAATAATGTAAAGTATTGTATATATATGCAATAAGTATTGAAAATTAGTAAGTTTAAATAAGAAACTCAAAGGCAGTCTCAAGTATGACATCTAGTAGGTAACTTATAGGTAAAACTCTTAATTAGATAATAACTAAAGTTATATATATAGCTAGTTATACTTTTGTTAATAGACTATTGTATATAAATATGTAATTATATATTACTTAATAAAGACATACAAGTCAAATACACTTGACACTACTTCAGAAACAATAACCAAACTACATCATCAAATTAAACAACTGTATTGTATAACTACACACAATGCAGTAGATCTACCATCAGTCTTTTCAACCTTATTTAGCTTAGTGTCACATAAAATTATCTCTACTATCTTAGACTTATCATCTAAAAAATTAGCTACAACACTTGTTATCAAATTTTTACTTCATCTTAACCAACAAATATATCATAAAAT